CAAAAACACAGTTTTATCTGGGAACGAAGCAAGTGATGGTCTTTATGAATGGATCATTGAATCATTATTTAGTTCACAAACACAGATTAATTTTGGAAAGAAGCAAGTGACTGTCTTTGAATGGATCATTGAATCATTGATTAGTTTAAAAACACAGATTCATTTGGGAACGAAGCAAGTGATGGTCTTTATGAATGGATCATTGAATCATCGATAAACACAGTAACACAGTTTTATCTGGGAACGAAGCAAGTGATGGTCTTTATGAATGGATCATTGAATCATTATTTAGTTCAGATTAATTGATTAATTTTGGAAAGAAGCAAGTGACTGTCTTTATGAATGGATCATTGAATCATCGATTAGTACAAAAACACAGTTTTATCTGGGAACGAAGCAAGTGATGGTCTTTATGAATGGATCATTGAATCATCGATTAGTTCAAAAACACAGTTTTATCTGGGAACGAAGCAAGTGATGGTCTTTATGAATGGATCATTGAATCATTATTTAGTTCACAAACACAGATTAATTTTGGAAAGAAGCAAGTACCTGTCTTTATGAATGGATCATTGAATCATTATTTAGTTCACAAACACAGATTAATTTTGGAAAGAAGCAAGTACCTGTCTTTATGAATGGATCATTGAATCATTATTTAGTTCACAAACACAGATTAATTTTGGAAAGAAGCAAGTACCTGTCTTTATGAATGGATCATTGAATCATTATTTAGTTCACAAACACAGATTAATTTTGGAAAGAAGCAAGTGACTGTCTTTGAATGGATCATTGAATCATTGATTAGTTTAAAAACACAGATTCATTTGGGAACGAAGCAAGTGATGGTCTTTATGAATGGATCATTGAATCATTATTTAGTTCACAAACACAGATTAATTTTGGAAAGAAGCAAGTGACTGTCTTTATGAATGAATCATTGAATCATCGATTAGTTCAAAAACACAGTTTTATCTGGGAACGAAGCAAGTGATGGTCTTTATGAATGGATCATTGAGTCATTATTTAGTTCACAAACACAGATTCATTTCGGAACGAAGCAAGTGATGGTCTTTATGAATGGATCATTGAATCATTATTTAGTTCACAAACAGATTCATTTTGGAAAGAAGCAAGTGACTGTCTTTATGAATGGATCATTGAATCATCGATTAGTTTAAAAACACAGATTAATTTGGGAACGAAGCAAGTGATGGTCTTAATGAATGGATCATTGCATCACTAATTTGTTAAAAAAAATGCAGATTCATTTGGGAAAGAAAAACATTTAAAAGTGCAAAAACAGACAGTATTTTGACAGTATGGTGCCTAAAATGTAACAATATTAACTTTTTAATTGAACTGTTGTATAAAATCAATATCACATTGGCAGTCATCCTGATATTCGGGACAAACAGCATGCTTGCTCGTGTGATATTGCTAATTGCTTAACTATTTTATATAGAAATATAAAACCCCATTTTTTTATTAAATTTTGTTTGTAAATGTGTTTTAACTTTTGAATCAAGTCCAATCAAGTAATAGTCAATAAAAGTGTTAAAATTTACCAAAGCTGATATTAGTTTTATTTAATTATTCATCAAACTGGAAATGGAAGGTCAAGTTGAGCGCATTGCATTGTGGGATACAGTATTCTGCACAGTATTATGTGTACTGCTGCATATTTAGTCAAATATAGTCATTTTCTCTGCATATAGAAAATCTATGTATGCATTCTGCATTATTTCTTTAAAAAATATTTGGTAGTATGCCATTCCTGCTCATCAATCTTTGGTCAGATGTAAAAACTCTACTGTAAAATAGCAGAATAGATGGAACAGGCCAGAATGGCGGGGAAAAGAAGGCTGATTTTCATGCGGCTCGGTGCTGTCAGATTGAATTAGCTCAGGTGTAATTAGAGCGCTGGAGAGCGTCCTGCTTTGGCTGCGGTGTGCGACGGGGCAGCATGGCTCTACACTGAAGCCAGCTGATACCGAGCCGGGCCGCTATCACCATGCAAACACACGCCTCCAACATCGCAGGCGAGCGGCAAATCCAAGCATGAAATTAGCAGTCACTCAGATCATGCTTGCATATTTCACTTTGTGTGTTTTCTGCTTTATTTGTGTGTGTGTGTGTGTGTGTGTGTGTGTGTGTGTGTGTGTGTGTCACTGTCTGAGTGTTTGAGTGGCTAGCTGGAGTTGAAGTGCAGTGTGTTCTGCTGGAAGGAGGTTAGACACAGTTTGCAAACGACGTCTGCGTTTAATTAGTGACCTTTTTGTCAACATGAAAATGGACGCTATTTACTGTCTTCATATCTCTTCACGTTATATTTTTGTACAATTTATCAATGCATGTTATTAAAAAAAAACTCCTTTTAAACTCATCAAAATGTAACAACTCAATCTTCCTCCAAAATGCCCTTCCATTTTGCTGACATCATCAAGCCCATCATTTTTTCAAGCCTGTTTTAACAATCCAATTAATTAGAGATGGATATAATTAAAAAGTCCTGCTCAACATGATTATTTGTTGAATATACTGTTTGGATTATGACAAGGTAAAATTAATTGGCAAACACAATTTCTCACTGATTTTATAGAAATCAAATCCCGAGAGTATGTGAAGATGACAATGACTTTCTATTAGAGGTTTTGTCAGATTTAGTTCACATTTGGAGACAGTTTTGCACACAGACTCTCACTGAATGCACATTCATCCTTATAGTTTTCAGCCCTGTACACATAAAAAGTCGAAGCCAGAATATTTTTAACATCATAGGTGAAACACGTCTGTTGCATTTTGTTCAGGTGGGTTCTATTCCTCCATGCCCCCTGATTGAAGAAAAAAAAACATTAATATGCAAATATCAAAGTACATGTACAGCTGGAAGGGAAAAGGACTCTCTTGATAGAATGTAGCCAATGTCTTTTTTTTTGACGGAGGAAAGAAATTAATCAAACAGAGAAAAATGAACTTTGTGATTGCACGGGTGTACCACCCAAAGGCATGGCAAGCAAATGAAAAATCAACATTGTACCCACTGATAAGACAAATTAATAAGAAAGTGTGCTAAGTCTACCTTCAATGCCGCTGCTTGCGTGAACAAGTTATCTCGGAGCAGACGTAACCTTAGGCTTTGGATCTGTTCCTGTGTTGGCTTTGCTCGAACACTTTGCAGTCGTGTTCATTTATAGTTATGGAAGGTACAGAAACATTACAAAACAGATATACTGTCATAGTTTGCGAGGTCCATGGTGGGATATTACTTTTTTAGTGGTGTTTGCATCCTGCAGTGTTTGATGGACATGTCATGTGGCTTGTCGAGGAGAGATGTGCTACTTTTCAGACTTACTTTGATTGTGGATAAATGCTTGCATGTTTTCGAACACATCTTTCGAAAATGGTAAAATCTAGTCAATTTTAATAAGTGTGCACTTAATAATATTGAATGTGCATTTGTAATATAATTCAAATCTTCAAAAAGTATATTTAAAAAAAAAAACTCTACTTGCGGATAATATATTAATAAAATTAAAAGCCACTTAAGTGTGCTTGAGAGTTCACTTCCATACATGTTTTTTTTTTTTTTTTACAAACTTTAAAAGGTAATTTCAAAGTTTTACTTTAAAATACATTTTAAATCATTTTGTTTTGAATGAAATACACTTATTTTGATGTGATATATTTTAGATGTACTAAATTTCAATGTACAAATGTGCAATTACATAAAAATTAGAATTCATGGCATACAAGATTCAATAGAAATGACATTAAAGTATATTTTAGTTGATCATAAATGCTTGTCAGTACATTCAGCAGTAACTTTAACCATATTTCAAAGACAATAGAAGTAATTATGAAATTACTTATAAAGATGTACTTAAGTCCTACTTAAGTGGGTAAAAAAAATTACTTTTTAAATTTAAACTGTTAATAAATGTTATGGAATTAACATGCTATTAAGTGTCCAAAACCATTTAAGTATATTCTTTTAAAGTATACTATGCCCTTAAAGTACTCTATTTAAAAGTGTTTTAAAGTGTACTTCGTTTTCACAAGAGTGAAGACAAAGGGGAATTCACTTCAGCGTCTTCTGAAGTGCTAATGTTGTGCACTTGTTTGTCCGTTACATGACAGGAGTGTTTGAAAATGGGCTTGAGACTGACTCTGAGGAGATGGAGAAGAAAGAGATCTTGAAAGAAGACGGGTCTGTGGAGGACGACCTGCTTTACTACTCTGACCCAGAGAACGTCGTCTCTAAAGATGGAGATCACTCGAGGAATGGTGAGCTCATTTCCCATTAAATATAACAAGAGAAAACATGTATGTGGTTGGAAATCACAGTAACACTGGTAACACTTTAGTTTAAGGACCAATTCTCATTAATAACTTGCTTATTAGCATGCATATTACTAGCATATTGGCTGTTTTTTAGTACTTATAAATCACATATTAATGTCTTATTCTGCATTACTACATTCTAGATCCCTTAACCCGATCCCATACCTAAACTTAACAACTACCGTACTAACTATTAAATTAGGAATTCATTGAGGCAAAAGTCATAGTTAATAGTTAGCTACATATTCGCTATTAACTAAGAGTTTTCCCTCAATAAACTTCTAATTTGCTGCTTATTAATAGTTAGTAAGTTAGAAGTTATGTATAGGTATGGGTTCGGGTCAAGTGATCTAGAATATAGTCATGCATTAATACATGCTTTACTAATAAACCGTCAATATGCTAGTAATATGCATGTTAATAAACAACTAGTTATTAGTGAGTAGTGTTCCCTAATCTAAAAGTGTTGCCGAAATCACATTACACATAAAATTCATCATTTTAAATCACATTGGCTTGTTTTAATATGTAAACAAACACTTCTGTTCTGTAATCCTATAGACGGATATATTTCATATTGTGTTTCACTATAACTGTCAGAAGTATCAGACCTTTTCTAGAACACACAATCTTTCCCCACCTTCCCACCGCAGCCCCTTTGGCTCAAAGCAGTGTTTGGTTTTGTGCTGAAACTGAATTTGAATATGAAAGAGAAGATTGAAGAAATATGGCATTTTGAGGGAAGAGCTACTGTATATGTTACTAACAGGGTTACTGGTCATAGTAAATAACAACAGAGTTGCTGGTATTTGCTGCAGGCCTCCACCATCAAACTCGAGCTAATAGCATCAGCTCTTTGAACTGAAATTCAATTACAGGCGTTTCTGCCGGCCACACCTCACCGTCACAACGGGATAATTCAGAGCCCCCCCAGCCATTTGAAATTCACTCCGCATTCTAACGTTATGCTTTTCTATTTGTAAATGATGAATCTTCTCTTTGAAATGCCTGTCTCGGGCTCCCTGACGTCCAAAAGTTTGCGACGGCAAAAGTGAAGTGCGTAAACTACCTGCTTTGCCTGCAAGCGTGCAATCTTCAAAAGAACAATCACTTGTGCTTTTTTGTTTCGAAAATTGGTGGAACAATGTGTGCCGGTTTGCTTTTGTTCTTGTTGAATAGCAAGAGGTGCAACCCTTTTTCATTTCCTCGGATGTTTTGACCTATTAAGTTTTGAAGGGCAGCAGCGAGGAAACATTTTTGAATATTTATTGTTTTTCTTGATTTTTGTTTCTCCTCTACTTAATCACATAATTGCTTTTTGAATCTGTGAACCGTATAATGGAAATGTCAAGAAGAAAAGTATAGATCATGACACCTATACCTGATGAAAATGAGTTATGATTTACCGTTTATGATTTCCTGTGCTGGGTCATTTCGAGCCGCTCTCAGGACTGTAGGTTTGCTTATTAATTACTCAACCATGAATAAATAAATGTGCAAGAACGTCAGTTTTCCAGTTGAGGTTTATTACCTATATGATAAGTCATATAGTAGAATAGTCAATCTGTGAACCATATAATGAAAATGTCAAAAATAACACAATAGATAATGGCAGTTATGATTTAATATTCATAATTACATTAGTACTGGCAGTAAAGCTGATTAATTACTCTAGAACAAATAGATGGATAAGTATAAACGGCATGTTTCCAGATAAAAATGTGCTTTGAGAAAAATCAGCACCCACTCGCCGACATTGTTGAGTAGTAACTGATTACATGTAATCTGGATTACGTAATCAGATTTGAAAAATGAAGTACTTGTAATTTGATTACATTTGAAAATACTCGTAATCAGACTACAGTTACTTTTTTATTGATTACATGATTACATATTATTTACACTTACATTTAGCAATTCATTATTTAATATATTATTAATATATTTTCTTTCTCTTTATATTTTTATATCAATATGATGTATTGACCAAATATGTGATAAACGAGTTATGTCCAAAGTAATCTAAAAGTAGTCAAATGTGTAATGTAGTGGATTACATTACTATCTACAATTTTTGTCATGTAATTTAGAATCAGTAATGGATTACAATTTGTACGTAATCTACTCGTCGATTTCCGGCAATCCTACTGGAATCCATATTTTTCAATATGTCGCTCTTTTTTTACTCGAAATTTGTCAGAATACATGAAACCCCCTGGTTTGAACATGCTCCAGCTTTTAAGTGGTATTTTGGCTCTCTTGTCCCTTCAAGAAGGTTTAATACTTGGCTCTGTCCCTGTATTTATTCAGCTCAAGTTTTAAGATCATAAGGTTTTATCCATTCCAGTCACTAGAAAGGAATTTCCTGTCTGCAGAGGACATGGACTGTGTGTGAGAGTGTGTGTGTGTGTGTGTGTGTGTGAGTGTGT